TTTTAATTGTTTATTTTTTGCCTTGTCAGCATGACTGCAGCCCCTGCCCTTTTGGATTTACTTGATATATAGTAAATTTTTTTTCCATCCCCTCAGTTTTATTTTGTATATATTTTTTTGCTCTTTAAATGTGTTTCTTGTGAGCAACAGATTGTAGGGTTTTGTTTTCTTACTCATTCTGTCACTCTTTTTCATTTTATTGGATTGTTTAATCCATTCACATTTGAAGTTGTGAATTAGGTTTATTTTTCTTCCATTTGACTCTAATATTGTTTCTTTTTCAAGTTATAATTTTCTTCCCCACTTTCTGATGTAAAGTTCTTATGTTTCTTCACTTACTTTAGCTTAATCTTTTTTTTTTTTTAATGGGGACCCTATTCCCACTGGCTCTTTTTCTCTTACCTAGATTGCCTCTTCCTATTTGTTGCCCCTTTCCCTTTGGAGTTTTGCTTATTAATTTATTTTTATTTTCTGCTTTTATCTGATTATTTAATTCTCCCCTCTATTTCCCCCCTCAGTCAAGTAGATTCCCCCTTACCTTCAATTGGACCCGTTCATTAATTTTTTAAAAAATTTTACATCCTTTTCCTTAGAGAATTTCTCTCACTTTCTTCATTATTCATCCTCTTTCTCTCTTTCATGACCCCTATAATTAGATAATCCCTCCCTATTATTTGTATTCCTCATAGAATAAAAAATTTCTGAAATTTCCATTCTGGGCTGTGCTAGTGCCTTGTAGAGCTTACCTCAAGGATTACCCTTTTCTGTGGTGTGGTGCCAGTTTCCCCCAGGAGTTCCAATTCTTCTCTGCCCTATATAGGATGAATGGTTTTTTCTTTTTTCTTTTTTTTAACATTTTTTAAATTTTTAGGCAGTTGGGGTTAAGTGACTTGCCTAGGGTCACACAGCTAGTAAGTGTCAAATGTTTGGTCTGAGGCCAGATTTGAACTCAGGTCCTCGTGACTTCAGGGCCTGTGCTCTATCCACTGTGCCACCTAGCTGCCCGGATGAATGGTCTTTTCAAACATCAAATCCCTCAGACAACACCCAGCACAGAGTCCCCATTTCCCTTTGTAAAATATCTCACTTCTCCCATAGGAGCATTCATCAGTAGAACCTTCTCCCACTATCAAGACCTCTCTCTTTTTCAATCCTTTACCTCTCTTCACTCACTCCCCAGCAGGTTCTTCTCTTTCTGAGAGACCCTAGAGGTCAGCTTTCCCCCCAAGCTCCTCAATTTGACTTGGGGGCAACTGCTGCAGTGGATAGAGTGCTAGGTCTGGAATCAGGAAAACCTGAATTCATATCTGGCCTCCAACACTAGCTGCGTGACCCTGGGCAAGTCACTTAACCCTGCTTGCCTCAGTTTCCTCACCTGTAAAATGAGCTGGAGAAAGAAATGGGAAACCACTCCAGGTATCTTTGCCAAGAAAATGTCAAATGAGGTCAGAGTTGGACATGATGAAATGACTGAACAATAACATACATCACTCCCCTCTATTCCTCTGATCTCTTCCCCCCTTTCATATACCCTCCCATTTTGTAATGTAGTCTAAATAAAAACAAACAACATCGATTCATCTGTAGATGAGTTGCCAGGTTCTGTTCATAATGCCCCAGGTCTTGCCTCTTCACTGTTACCTCCACTTGACTCCCACTTTAATCCCTCCCTGTCTCTTTGTGTACATTTAGAAAGAAGTTGTTTACTGATCTCTCTGTTCTCTCTGTGTTGCTATTGCTGTTCTTGGCTGATGCATTCATGTACCCCTTCTGTATTTCTGTTGTCTGGGATGTTCAAGAAGCAAATCTCTTCAAGTCTAGTTTTCTTTCTAGGAATGTTTCAAATACTTTTTTATTGAATGTCCATCTTTTTTCATTTAAATTTAAGCTCAGATTTGTAGGACAGGTCACCCTGGGCTTCCATCTTGAGCATCGCTGCTCTTTGGGACACATTGTTACCACTCCTCTCTGTGTTTTCTGGTGGGTTCAGAATAATAATAGTCTTATGCTATTTGAATTTCCTTTGAAGGTCTTTTTCTTGATCACTTACAAAGCTTGTTTCTGAGTTGAATTGTTAAATTTAATGACGGTGTGTCTTAGAGTTTGCAGCCTTTTTTTTTTTCCTGGAGGTGATCTATGAATTCTTTTAGTATTTAATTTTTTGTGTTCAGAAGTTCTGGGTATTTTTCTTGTAATATTTCTTGCATTATACTGTTCTAGTTTTTTTGACTTGTCATGTTCTAGGAGACCTATGATCCTTAGATTGTCTGTATGCGTCCTATATTTGAGTTCAGTATGTTTTGCTTGCAGTGACCATGTTTTCTTTTAATATTATTGTTTTGTGTTTTTCTTCTTGTAGATAAGTGGTGAAATTGAAATATCAGATCCCTGCATATAGACTTAGAAAACCACAAATTAACATTATCTATGTTTTATTTTTATTTTGTTAAACATTTCCCAGGTATTTTTTAACCTAGTTTGGGCCATGCTCAGGAATTTTGCAGTGTCCTAGATTGTCCATCATTCTGTGTGTTTTCCTTCCCGGATTTTTTTTTTCCATTGAGACTTTTGTAGCTGTTTTGCCTGCTATGTTCTGTGCAGGCCATAAATTCTGCTCTCATAATTCTCATTTCTCTTTTAAAACCACTCAGGAATATTGTGTTATGTTTCTGTATTCTTACATTCCACAGGGTCTCCTGTCTCATCAACTGTTAGATTTTTTTCCTTTGTCTTGTAGTATTTATTCATGGACACGTGAACTGGATCCGGAGACCATATTTTCTTCTGCTGTTAACATTTTCCCTGTTAACTTATCTGTTTATATTCAAGGTCTTTGAGTTTTCTTCTTCTTGAGATATCTGGTGATTTCAGTTTTTTTTTCCCTCCTTATATCTCCTCATTGCTCATTTTCTGATTCCCTTCCCTCTAAATGTGGTTTTCCTGGGGGCTCAATCTCAAAGCACCTCAGCCTCCTCCCATACTGAGTAATTCATGGTTCATTAGCCTAGATCTCTGCCCTAAATGACAGCAGGGGAATGGCACTGGCCTTAGATAGATACTGGGCTCTTTCCCTCAGGCATAATGGAGTTCTGCACCCCCCCCCCCATGCATGCTGTCCTGTCCCACTCCTTCCATTCCTCAGTTCTCTGGCCAGGCACCAGCAGTCCAGAGTGCTCCCAGGCTGGTGCTATAGGATTGATTTCTGTATTTTGGGTCTCTGAGGCTCTGGGAGGAAGGAGATAGTGGAGGTGGGAGGAAGGACAGTTGTGTTCTATTTGAAACCCAGCCATGTCCTGCCTCTTTCTCTCTGTTTCACTTTCCTGCAGAGCTCTTTCATACCACAGAGTGCTGTCACCTTGGAACTGGCTTTTGTGGCCACAGCAAACTTTAGTCAACTGTAGCCTGCATCTCCATGGTCCTAGAAAGAGGGAGGGGCACCCGAAGTGTGAGGTTAGTTTTGTTGCAAGTTGGCTAGCGTGATGGGCAGCGGGGGACATGGTGCTGGCTGAGCTTAGGGTAGGCATCAGTTGTATTTTGCTTAACCTTTTTTGGGCTTCCTGAGTATCCTAGACCATGACAGTAGCTGAAGTTGCTTTATCTTTGGCTTATAATTTCTGATTGGAAAGATTTGGGAAGTTGTGGGGATCAGAGAAAATGCCTAGTTTGCCATCTTGTTGGTCATGTGAACCAGAAGTCTCTTTGTTAGTTTTTAAATTTGATTTTCTGTGCCTTTTTCTAAAAAGGATTTCTGTACCTCATTTTCTTCATTATTTTTCCTCTTCTTTCTGTCTGCTCTAGACTTCTATTCTTTGATTTATGGCCCTTACATTTATTCCTTCTTAGTTTCCATGTTCCCCAGGAGAGTAAAGCTTTTATTTTGCATTCTTTTTTTCCAAATAGCTTCTGTTATTGCCTTGTAGGTCATGTTCCCTAGCCTCCTTTTTCTTTTGTTCCTCACTTTTAGAAATACCAGTTTCTGCCAATGAAAGAAGATAGAAATATTGCTCCCTAGTAGATATTTTCCTGTGTCTCTGATTGTGCTGTTCATTACTTGTCTTTTCCTTCCCCCATGATCATCTTTTCTCTATGTGCCATGAAATCTCTCTGGTTCCATGCCCTCCGACCTTTTTGGGTTTCAATTTCCTCCAGAAACTCTGATTTCTCTTCTCCTGAGGCAAAATGGGTGGTCACTCTGAAGTACCATGTCCTTGCAAATTATGCCCATTGCAAGGTCCCCTTCTCCATTTATACGATATATCTCATTCCCCATAGAAGTGGGGAACCCCTCCCACCACTACAGCAAGATTTTCCCTTTTCTTCCATTTTAAAGATGCAAACTGTCTAAAAGAACAGTCCCACCATTATAGGGATGTACTGAGATACTGAAGAAAGAAGCAGAAATGTGTAGATTTATTAGGGTTTGTTTTATGTATATATATACACACACATATACATACATACTTACATACATACATATATATATATATATATATAAATAAATATAAATAGATTAGATTAGATTTATTAGGGCTGGTTGGCAGCAGGAAGACAGTGGTAGATCTCCGCACCCACCTATAGGCCATGCCGGATATTATACAGAAACAGAACAAAGAGGGCATAGTGCCAGAGATGGCCCAGGGTCGTGTGCAAGTTTTCCCATGGGAGCTTAAGTTTTCTCTGGGACAGTTGTTGTAACAGAGCTGTTTTGCTATTTACAACAACCATGGGTCACACTCAGGCCCTGGTTCCCACCATATACTCCACCCATCATGACCTGCTCATACATTGTTTCCTATAGTTTCTTCACCAGTATTCCTTGAGTGGTACACAAGCAGTCTTACTCTCATGGAGGAAGCAGAGGAACAAATCAGTGAACTATGTTAGTGGTACAACTCACAACAGCAATACACGAGCAAGTAGGGAGAGAATTGCCACAATTGTTACAGTTTTCTTCCACCCAACTCCAAGGAGGCAAAGAGAGTCGATGGTGATTAGTGGGAGAACTGGATTTCTGAACTTGATTTATTACAGGGTGGCTAAATTCCTGAACTAAGTTCAGAGACAAAGAAACATTGGCTTAGGCAATTTTTACAACAGATTGGGGGTGATGCAGAATAGAATCAGTTACAAAATGGGATTAGAATAATTTGATTTTCTCAGTTTCCCTCTTTTTGTCAGTGAGAGACTTGTCACAATTTCCCCTGACCAGTTAATGTAAGAACAAGACTGATTAATCATAGCACAAGCCATAGTAAGAATATCTAAGACCAAGACTAAATTATAGAGGGTAAATTTATGTGACCCCAAGATATCTCAGTATATATCCATATACATCTGTGAAACAGAAAGCCAAAGTAATACAATAATAATGCCCATCAACATTAACTAATGTCAAGTCTCCTTGCATTTTAGTAACCCATTCCTAATGTCCATTTCAGCAACACATTTCATTTTGGGTTCAGATGGCCCACGTAGTTGTCTGGTCTCTGGAAACACCAAGTGTCTTGAACATTCCAGAACAGGTCCTATTCTCATGGTAGCACTGCAGGAGACTCCTTTTCAGTAGATTTGCTTTTCTGGTTCCAAGTTACTTGTAGAGATTCCTTAGATGTTCCTAATAAAATCTTTTACAAAACAGATCGCAACAAGTTAGCCTCTCAAATTTTAAAACTTCTTCAATTACTAGTTCATGTGGTGAAAACCAGCTCAAACTTTGTGGTTCTGATCTTATTAATAATAGAGCTGTAAGGTGAACATCAGATTAGGGACCCGTAGTTCACTTGAAATTTCAGAGAATTCATGTTTTCACATACCCCAGTAGAAATTGGCATATGTAATCATCTGATCTTATGGCTATCTCAAAATTTTCCCACTCCAGTTAATCCCATTTCCTTTAGGAGGATCAGATGCTATTAAGGATCTAATCCTATATCTGAAAATATAGGTAACAATGCTCTTGGTAGGTAGAGGCTTTCTACCTCCAGGTTCAATGGTTATACAAATGAATTTACTTACAAGAGGCTGACTTTATTCCACTTGTAACAAAAGACCTGAGATGGGCTGTGTAGATACACTAAGCAATTAATACCCAGTTGCCTATAAAGAACAGCATATATCAAGTGGGTTGCCAGTAGTAAAATATGTCCAGTTAACCATATTCAAATAGAATAGATATTACACAAAGATTACTCTCCACTAAGATGATTGATTGCAGTGAAAATCTGTTCCTTAAAACCAAAAAGAAAAGGTTTCTGACTTTAACCTCACAAATTAATAGATTTATATCTTTGTTTTACAAGAGCTTTTTATCTTTGTCCAATCATCCCCATAGCATTCTGAAAGAATATTTCAGGGACTTAACTATGTAACTTTTAACAGGCAAATGACAAGTCTGAGCACTAATTCACTTAGTTGGGATATAGAATGACCACTCATTCAGATTGAAAACAATAAGATCTTACATAATTTCATTGTGCTTCTGACCACCTTCCTTGATTATAGAAATTTGGTCTAAAAGGAAAAAGCAAAGGCATGATCATAACAGCATCAAAATTGGTTTCCTGACTTCCAGTGCCAAGATGGCAGAGTGAGAAAGGAATTCTTTGAAGCCCTCCCAAATTTCCCTCCAAACAACTTGAAAACCACCTCAGAACAGCAGGTGAGCAGCTTACCAGCATAGCAGGAAAGGTCTGTCTCACTGGGGTGGGAGGAGATAGAGGTAGAGAGCAGCTGCTGCAGCCAGCTTCACAACAGCGCTCCCTAGGCAAGTGAGCAGTGTGTTGGGTTCAGAGAGGCCTCCCGCTCAGCACAAGCCACCAGGGTAATCTTGACCCCATTGCTGGCTAGTAGTGAGGCCCTGTCCTGGGACTGGCCACAGCAAGACCCCACTCCTGGGACCTGCCCATAGAGAGTCCCTGTTTCCATAGCAACCCAGCAGCAGGGCCCCACCCCTGAGGCACACCAGCTACAAGATGCCTCCCCCCGGGCCAACCGGCAGAAAGACTCTGTTTCCATAGCAAACCAGCAGCAAGGCTCCAACCCTGGGGCAGGCCAGCAGCTAAACCCCACATGCAGGGAAAGTGAACAGGGAGGCTCCATCTCCAGTATGAGCCAGAAGGGAAGTCTACTTGTCCAGTGCAAACGAGCAGCTAGGCCTGAAGCCCAGTGAAAGCCAGCAATGGCCCTAAGCCCCAACACAAAAAGCTTAGGATAGTGCAGGACCAGAGCCCAACTCTCACATAAAAACACCAAGTCACAAAATAGGCAGAAAAAAATGAGCAAAAAAAAGAACTTGACTATGGAAAGTTACTATAGTGACAGGGAAGATCGAGGCACAAACTTAGAAGAGGACAATAGTGTCAAAATGGGTACATGTGAAGCCAAAGAAATATGTGATTTGGTCTCAGGCCTAAAAAGAACTGGAAGAGCTTAAAAAGAATTTTAAAAAGCAAATTAGAGAAGATAGAAGAAAAATTGGAAAAAGAAATAAGAACAACATGAAAGAATCATGAAAAAAGAGTCAATACATCCCACCCCAAAAAGGAAAAAGAGTCAATAGCATGGAAAAAGATGCAAAAATTTACCAAAGAAGATAACTCCCTAAAAAATAGAATTGGCCAAATGGATAAAGAAGTACAAAAGCTCACTAAAGAACATAATTCCTTAAAAAATTATAAAAACAAAATTTAAAAAAGGACAAAAAAATAGTAGAAGAAAATGTGAAAATAGATGCAGGAGAGATAATATAAGAATTATTGGACTACCTGAAAGCCATGATCAAAAAGAAAAAAAAAAAGCAAGGAGAAAGTGTTGCAAGCAGCCAAAAAGAAACAATTCAAATATCTTGGAGCTACAATCAGAATTTGGCAACACAGGATTTGGCAACTTCCATATTAAAGAACCAGAGGGCTTGCAATATGACATACTGGAAAGGTAAAAGAATTAGGATTACAACCAAGAATCACCTACCCAGCAAAACTGAATATAATCTTTCAGGGAAAAATGGGTATTAAATGAAATAGAGGACTTTCAAGAATCCCTAATTAAAAGACCAGATCTGAATAAAAAATTTGACCTCCAAATACTCAAGGGAAACATAAAAAAGTAAAGAAGAAACAGGAAGGAAAAAACATAAAAGATTCAATAAGGTCAAACTTTATATTTCTATGACAAGATAATATTTCTAATTCTTAACAACTTTGTAACTATAAGGGCAATTAGGACTATACACAGACAGAGGCTGAGGATATAAGATGACTTTAATGGGATGATATCCCTTCCCCCCCCAAAAAATAAAGGGATGAGAAAGATTTCACTGGAAGAAGAAGGAGGGGAAGATTGAGAGAGGGTAAATTCTATATAAAAGAGATTTGAAAGAGCTGTTATAATTGAGGGGAATGCGGGGAGGTGGCAGGCAAAGCATAAACCTTACTCTCATCAAAAATTGGCTGAAAGAGCGAATAACATACACACTCACTTGGATACAGAAATCTATTTTACCCTATAAGGAAGGATAAGATAAAAAGAATGGGGGTAATAGAAACAGGGCAGGGACTGATAAAAGAGAGGGTGGATTGGGGGAGGCAATGATCAGAAGTAAAACACTTGTGAGGAGGGAAAGGGTAAGGGTAAGAGAAGAGAGTGATAAACAAGGGAAAAAGAACATGGAGGGAAATGTACAGTTGTCATAGCTATACATGTGAGTGGGATGAATTCACCCATAAAACAGAAATGGATAGCATAATCCATTCTGGATTAAAAACCAGAATCCTACAGTATATTGTTTACAAGAAACACATTTGAAGTAGAGAGATACACACAGGGCAAAGGTAAGGGGCTAGAGCAGAATCTATTATGCTTCAGCTGAAGCAAAGAAAGCAAGGGTAGCAATCATGATCTCAGACAAAGCAAAAGCAAAAATAGATGTAATTAAAAGAGATAAGGAAGGAAACTATATCTTGCTGAAAGTTGTCATAAACAATGAAGTAATAGCATTACTAAACATATATGTACCAAATGATATAGAATATAAATTTTTTTTTTTGTTTTTTGGTGAGGCAATTGGGGTTAAGTGACTCGCCCAGGGTCACACAGCTAGTAAGTATCAAGTGTCTGAGGCTGGATTTGAACTCAGGTCCTCCTGACTCCAAGGCTGGAGCTTTATCCACTATGCCATCTAGCTGCCCCCTAGAATATAAGTTTTTGAAGAAGTTGAATGAATTACAGGAGGAAATAGACAATAAAACTATACTAGTGGGAGACCTCAACATTCCCTCTCAAAACTAGATAAATCTAACCAAAAAATAAACAAGAAAGAAGTTAAAAAAGTGAATAAAATCCTGGAAAAGTTAGATATGGTAGATCTCTGGAGAAAGTGAAAGAGAATAGAAAGGATATATATATCTTTTTCTCAGCAGCACATGGCACCTACACAAAAAATTAATCATGTGTTAGGACATAAAAACTTCACAACCAAATGCAGAAAAGCAGAAATAGTCAATACATCCTTTTCAGATCATAATGCAATAAAAATTACATTCATTAACTGTCAATGGAAAGATAGATAAAAAATTAATTGGAAACAAATAATAATCTAATCCTAAAAAATAACTGGGTCAAAGAAAAAATCAGAAATAATAATTTCATTAAAGAAAATGACAATGATGAGACAACATACCAAAATTTATGGGATGCAGCTAAAGCGGTATTTAAGAGATAATTTATACCTCTAATTGCTTATATCAATAAAATAGAGAAAGAGCAGATTAATGAATTGGACATGCAATTAAAAAAGCTAGAAGAAAGATTAAAAACCTCCAATTGAACATCAAATTGGAAATCTTGAAAATCAAAGAAGAGGTTAATAAAATTGAAAATAAGAAAACCATTGAACTAATAAATGGGGGGAAAAACAATAAAATAGATAAACCATTGGTTAATTTCATTAAAAAAAGGAAAGAAGAAAACCAAATTACTAGTATCAAAAATGAAAAGGGTGAATTCATGACCAATGAAGAAGAAATTAAGACAATTGTTAGGAGCTATTTTGCCCAATTTTAAGCCAATAGATTTGATGATCTAAATGAAATGGATGAATATCTATAAAAACATAAATTACCCAGATTAACAGAAGAGGAAATAGAATACTTAAATAAACCCATTTTAGAAAAAGGAATTGAACAAACCATCAATGAACTCCCTGAGAAAAAATCCCCAGGGCCAGATGGATTCACAAGTGAATTCTGCCAAACATTTAAAGAACAATTAATAACAATACTGTAGAAACTATTTGGAAAAATAGGCAAAGAAGGAGTCCTGCCAAATGTCTTTTGTGACACAAATATGGTACTGATACCTAAACCAGGAAGAGCCAAAACCAAAGAAAATTATAGACCAATTTCCTTAATGAATATTGATGCAAAAATTTTAAATAAAATACTAGCAAAGGGATTACATCAATATATCTCAAGGATCATACACTATGTCCAGGTGGGATTTATACCAGGAATGAAGGACTAGTTCAATAGTAGGAAAACCAAGAGAATAATTGACCATATTGATAACAAAACTGATGCAGAAAAAGCCTTTGACAAAATATAACACCCATTCCTATTAAAAACACCAGAAAACATAGGAATAAATGGAGCTTACCTTAAAATGACAAGTGATATTTATCTAAAACATTAGCAACCATTTTCTGTAATGTAATTATCTGTAATGTAAAGCTAGAAGCCTTCCCAGTACAATCAAGGGAGAAGCAAAGATGCCCATTATCCCCTCTATTATTCAATATCAGACTAGAAATGTTAACTATAGCAATAAAAGAAGAAAAAGAAATGGAAGGAATTAGAATAGACAACGAAGAAACGAAACTATCACTCTTTGCAGTTATGTTATACTTAGAATAGTATCCTTGAGAATCAATTAAAAAATGACTTGAAATTATTAACAACTTTAGCATAGTTGCAGTATACAAAATAAACCCACATAAATCATCAGCATTTTTATATATTACCAACAAAGTCCAGTAGTAAGAGATAGAAAGAGAAATTTTATTTAAAATAACTATAGATAATATAAAATACTTGGGAGTCTACTTACCAAGACAAACTCAGGAACAATATAAACACAACTACAAAACACTTCTCACAAATGAAGTCAGATCTGAACAAGTCCAAAGGACTAATGATGAAGCATACTATCTGCCTACCGAGAAATAGCTGATATTATTTGAATACAGACCGAAGCACTCTATTTTTTGCTTTCTTTCATTCATTTTGTTTTATTCAAGTCTTTTTATACAAAATGACTAATATGGAAATGTTTTACATAAATGCACATGTATAACCTATATTTGATTGCTTACCATCTCAGGAAGGGGAGAGGGGAAAAGGGGAGTGATAGAATTTGGAACTCAAAACTTAAAAAAAAGTTAAAAAAATTTTAACATATAATTGGGGGGAAATAAAATACATACTAAATTTTTAAAAAACTGGTCCCCCAGGCCTAAGGACACAGAATGACTCAGTACATTTGTATAAAAGAATAATGCAGCCTTAGCTTTCTCTGATTTCAGGTAAGAATCATAGTTGACAACCAATTATGTGGTAACAATTCCACCTCATAACCAGATTCAGGTTTAATCAGGTGGGAAACATTCCTGTTCCAAAGGAAGTAACACAATAGGGACATTGAGTTAAGAAGATTCTACCTCTGGCCATGCCAACATCATCCCCTCAATCTTTCCCCAGCTACAGATATCCATACCTGCAATTCAGGATCACACTCCTTTTGAGCCACTTGTGACATTCTCTCAAATGGTGTACTTTAAAAAGAAATCTCTTAAAGGTCTTTCTGTTATTAACCCCACAGATGTTCTTCCTCTTTTTTTTTTCTGGAAAAATTTCTTTTATTAACTGTCTTTTTTTTTTAAAATTAAGAACAAGTCTTTATTTATTACAATATTTCAGGAGAAAGAG